TCCTGCAGGGCAGCCTGCACGAGGAGATCTGGCTGCGCCGCCCACCTGGCTTCACTGGGTCGTTTCCTCCTGGTACCCAGTGGAGCCTCCGGCGGCCAGTCTACGGTCTCCGCCAGGCGCCCCGTGAGTGGCACGACACACTGAGGACTACACTTGCGGCTCTTGGGTTTGCTCCTTCTACTGCCGACCCGTCGCTGTTTCTAAGCACCGACACCTCTTTGCCGCCGTTCTACATCCTCGTGTACGTCGACGACTTGGTCTTTGCCACTGCTGATAATGCTGGACTCGCCCACGTGAAGTCCGAGCTGCAGAAGAGACACACGTGCACAAACCTGGGTGAACTGCGCAGCTACCTTGGCTTGCAGATCACCCGGGACAGAGCACAGCGCACCATTACCCTGACTCAGTCACACATGCTTCAACTTCACGTACTCCTCACCTCAGGCCACTCCTCTGTCTACTCGCCACTCGCTCTCAGCTCTGCCTTTGGATGAGTCCATAGAGCCGGGTGGCCCGTACCCAGAGCTTGTTGGCTGCCTCATGTACCTGATGACCTGCACACGACCTGACCTTGCATACCCTCTTAGCGTCTTGGCACGCTATGTTGCTCATGGGAGACACCGACCAGAGCACATGGCTGCAGCGAAGAGGGTGTTGCGCTACTTGTGCAGTACGTCGGGCATGGGGCTAGTGCTTGGAGGGCGGCGACGTCGAGTAGTCCTCACAGGTCACGCTGACGCTTCTTGGGCTGACGACCAGCTCTGCAGCTGTTGTCATAGGGTTACACCTTCTGCCTTGGCTCCGGCTCTATTTCGTGGCGGTCTACCCGCTCGTCTTCTGTTCTCAGCTCCAGCTGTGAGGCTGAGATCTACGCGGGAGCCATGGCTGCACAAGAGCTACGCTGGCTCACCTACCTGCTGAATGACCTAGGAGAGCCGCCTCGTTCTCCTCCAGTTCTGTACGTAGACAACAAGGCCATGCTGGCCTTGTGTCGGGAGCACAGACTGGAGCACAGAACAAAGCATATTGCTCTTCGTTACTTCCTTGCTCGTGAGCTGCAGCAGCATGGTCAGCTGCGCCTTGCTTACGTGGCCTCTGAGGCCAACACTGCTGATATCTTTACCGAGGCACTTCCGCCTTGTGATCATCAGCGCTTTTGTACGATGCTAGGTCTTGTGCCTACTTGGCCTCACTTGCTCACTTCTTGACCTTGCTTGTACTGTGATCTTTCTATACCTTCACTTGCTTGTTTACCTTTATATATGATCTTGCATGTGAACTGGCCTTTTGGCCTTGCTCTTGTGCTCGGATTGTGTGGTGACGTTGTGATCCACCCTGAGCTTGCTTGCTTTGCTTGACTGGTCTTGTGACCTCTTGTTCTCCCACACTTTGCCTATGGGGGTGTGTCAAACTCATATGCTATAGTCTGTGTAGGTTGTAGTGGGGTAGACAATATTGGGGTAGACATATTGTACCACACTTCTAGGTTTTCCTACTTGTACCCACCTGCTTGCTAGTTCATTCATTCCTCATTTCTTCACACCTTTTCAAATTGGCGACAGCAAAACTATGCAAGCTGCAACTTCACAGGTGTCTGCCTGAAATCGACGCTCGCCTTGTTGATGGGACGCCTATGGCAATTTGGAGGAAACAGAGACGGTGAGGATCGAATGCGGCAACGATTTCGGCTTCAGCATGAAGATTCTCGTGACGATGCTGGACGCGTATGACGTGCTGCTGGGACGTGATTGGCTGCAACGACACAACCCCATCATCGACTACACAACGGGATCGTGCAGCATCAGCAAGCACAAGGGCTCATTACGCTGCATGCATGGACACCTGACTACATCCAAGCCGTGTGCGTCAAAGCTATCACTATAGCTTGCGACTTCAATCGAGGCGCGCAGCTGTTTGCCATTTGCTTATGCGAGTTGGCAGTGGACACTGACGGAAAAGACATCGAGAAGCTGTGTGCAGCCGTGCCACCGAATTTAGCGGAGCTGATTCGACAGTACCTTGACATCTTCCCCGACGATCTGCGACCTGGATTGCCACCCGAGAGACCTGAAGACCAAAAAATACAGCTGGAACCTGGCACGCAGCCGATTGTTTGGTCACAATGGCGGTTGACCCTGCTAGAACTCTAGGAGCTGCGAAGTCAAATTGATGCACTGTTGGAGAAAGGCTTCATCAGACCCAGTACTTCTCCCTTCGCAGCACCGATCGTGTTCACACCGAAAAAGGACAGCGGGCTTCGCATGTGCATCGACTATCGTGCGCTCAATCGGGTGACAATCAAGTTTCGCTACCCAATCCCACGCACCGACAACCTTCTCGACCAACTTCGCGGCACTCGTTACTTCTAAAAAATTGGCTAGCGTGGCGGTTACCACCAGATTCTGGTCTTCGCTGATGATTGCCATAAGACCGCGTTTTACACACGCTACAGAAGTTACGAGTTCACTGTGATGCCGTTCGGCCTCACAAACACGCCATCAACATTCCAACTAACCATGAACAGGGTTTTTTGGGAGCTCCTCGACAAATGTGTAATCGTCTACTTGGACGATATCTTGATTTAGCAGGACAAGGACAAGAGCGAACAACACCTCCGCGACCTCGACGCAGTGTTTAAGTGGCTACAGGAGAACCACCTCATCACCAAGGGCTTTAAGTGCGAGTTTTTTAAGCAGGAGTTGGAGTTTCTGAGTGCGTCATTTCCCGCGACGGCATTAGAATCTGTCAAACATTATATATGTGTTATTGCTATGTAGGCTATAGTGGGTTAGCCTTTAGGGGGTACACAACTCTAGGGTTTCATACTTGTACTCCAATGTTTCATAGTTCAATCACTTCTTGTTCTGACATGGTATTAAGAGCTTAGATCTAGACCTAAGGGCCCACAGTTCCGCTAGAGGTGCCCTCGTGCGCCCCTATTTTTTTTAGCGCCCTCGTGCGCCTCTCCCCTAGTGCGCCCTCGTGCGCTCTCCTCTCACGCTGCCCGTGTGCAGCCCGCTAGCAGCCCGAGCGCGGCCCCGCCGTTTTAGCGCGCGTAGGAAAACCGCCGCCTAGGGCAGCCCGATTTTTTCTCGCGAGCCCCAGCAGGCCGTCGCCCGTAGGCCCCGCTCGCCCCTAGGCCGACGCGTGACCCACAGCCGCCTGCCCCTAGGCCGACGCGCGACCCACAGCCGCCTGCCCGCAGGTCGCACCCAGCGCGCTGCGGCGATCGCGCATCGGCTGCTGCAGCTCGCGCTTAGCCGCCGCTAGAACGCAGCCGCGGCCCGTGCCAGCTGCACCCTATGCGCGCCGCGCACCGAGCCTAGGCCCGCCGTCGCGCCGCCTTACTTGCCCGAGCCGCGTCGCCCGAGTCGCGCCGCCCGAGTCGCGCCGCCCTGACCGAGCCGCGCCGCCCTGACCGAGCCGCGCCGCCCTGACCGAGCCGCGCCGCCCTACCTGCTGCAACTGCTCTTCCTGCTTCTGCTGCTACTGCTACTGCTGCTACTGCTATTACTGCTACTGCTACTGCCACTATGGCCAGTCCCACTGTTCTCACCTTTGACGCCGAGGGCCGCCCGATTAAGTTCGATGTCTGCTTGATGATCTTCACCTGTACCTCCAAATCACTGCCAAGGACGATGTTTCCCTCTATGACCACACGTCCGGCGCTGCTCCCGCACCTGCTGCTACTGCTGACAGTACTACTCGCTCACAGTGGCAGACTCGTGACGCCCATGCTCGCCTAGCCGTTCGCAGCCACCTTGTGAAGAAGTGAACGTGAATGAATGAACTATGAGTGAAGTGGGTACAAGTACTAACCCTAATTGGGTTGTACCCCCTATGGGATACCCCACTATAGCCTACACAAAAGCATAAGCTATAATGTTCTGACACACCCCATAGGCAAAGTGGGGGAGAACAAGGGGTCACAAGACCAGTCAAGCAAAGCAAAGCAAAGTAAGCTCATGGTGGATCACAACGTTACCACACAGTCTGAGCACAAGGTCAAGGCCACAAGGCCAGTTCACATGCAGGAGGAGACATATATATATAAGTCTAAACAAGCAAGAGCAGGTATATATATATGCAAGAGTACAAGTAAGGTCAGGAGGTGAGCAAGTGAGGCAAGACTGGGACAAGTCCCAGCTGAGTGCAGAAACGCTGATGATCACAAGGCGGAAGTGCCTTGGTGAAAACATCAGCAGTGTTGGCCTCAGAGGCCACGTACGCAAGTCGCAACTGACCACGCTGCTGCAGCTCACGAGCAAGAAAGTAGCGGAGAGCAATGTGCTTCGTTCTGTGCTCCAGGCGCTGCTCTCGACACAAGGCCAGCATGGCCTTGTTGTCTACGTACAGCACTGGAGGAGAACGAGGCGGCTCTCCAAGGTCAGTCAGCAGGTAGGTGAGCCAGCGAAGCTCCTGAGCAGCCATGGCCCCGGCGTAGATCTCAGCCTCACAACTGGAGCCGAGAACAGAAGACGAGCGAGTAGCCCGCCACGAAACAGAGCCGGAACCAAGACTGAAGGTGTAACCCTGCGACGACCGCTGAGTAGCCTGGTTGTCAGCCCAAGAAGCGTCCGCGTGCCCAGTGAGGACCACTGGACTCTGCCCTCCAAGCACAAGCCCCATGCCCAACGTACTGCACAAGTAGCGCAACACCCTCTTCGCTGCAGCCATGTGCTCCGGTCTGTGTCTCCCAGGAGCAACATAGCGTGCGAGAATGCTAAGACGGTATGCAAGGTCAGGTCGTGTGCAGGTCATCAGGTGCATGAGGCAGCCAACAAGCTCTAGGTACGGGCCACTCGACTCTACGGACTCATCCGAAGGCAGAGCTGAGAGCGAGTGGCGAGTAGGCAGAGGAGTGGCCTGAGGCGAGGAGTACGTGAAGCCGAAGCGCTGAAGGACCTGCTGCACCATGTGTGACTGAGTCAAGGTAATGGTGCGGCGTGCTCTGTCCCGAGTGATCTGCAAGCCAAGGTAGCTGCGCAGTTCACCAAGGTCTATGCACGTGTGTCTCTTCTGCAGCTCGACTTCACATAGGCGAGTCCAGCAGTGTCTGCTGTGGCAAAGACCAAGTCGTCGACGTACACGAGGATGTAGAACGGCGGCAGAGAGGTGTCGGTGCGCAGAAACAACGACGGGTCAGCAGTAGAGGGAGCAAACCCAGAGCCGCAAGCGTAGTCCTCAGTGTGTCGTGCCACTCACGTGGTGCCTGGCGGAGACCGTAGACTGGCCGTCGGAGGCTCCACTGGGTGCCAGGAGGGAAAGTCCCAGTGAAGCCAGGTGGACGGCGCAGCCAGATCTCCTCGTGGAGGCTACCCTGCAAGAAAGCAGTGCTGAAGTCAAGAGAGTGGAGCTCGTAGTCGTGCTGAGCGGCTATGTGCAGCAGCACCCGAAGAGTGGTCATCTTCGGGGTGGGAGAGAAGGTCTGAAAGTAGTCAACTCCCTGCCGCTGACTGAAGCCACGAGCCACGTACCGCGCCTTGAAGACAGGTGGAGAGCCGGCGGCCGCTTCACCCTGAAGATCCACATCCCACTGACGATGTTCGCCCCAGGAGGGGGAACCGCGTCAACGTAGGTGCCTGTGGACTTCCAGGAAGCCATCTCTGCATCCATAGCTGCCTGCCACTGAGAGGAGTAGGGACCCTCTACGGCCTCCGCGTAAGAGCGCAGAGTCGGGATGTCTAGTGCATCCGGGTCTCCCTCAGGGGCAAGCAGTACAGACGCGAGATGAGGTGAAGCAGCAGCCAGACACTGAAACTCCTCCTGCCTGTCCTCAAGGACGTCCGTGCGAAGAGCACACTCACCCCGACGGACGGAGGACAGACAGACGCAGACTCAGCAACAAGACTAGCAGCGTAGTCTAGACGACAGCGAGCAGCAAAGTCGACGAGCTCAGCAACAAGATTAGACGCAGCACTGGACTCAAAGGAGGAGTCAGTGACGACAGTAGCAAGGAGACGCGTGACAGTAGGACTGGCAGCACGAAGAGAGTCTGACTCAGGGTCGGCAAGCGCAGGAGAGGACTCAGGAGGAGAGGGCAAAGGGGCACGCAGAGGAGCAGTGGACGGACGCAGAGACATCCGGTGCGTGCCAGGGACAGGAGGAGGACGCTGACGCGAACTACGACCACTAGTGCGAGCAGCACGAACAGGCGACGCAGGACGAGACGCAGGCTCACGACGCTCAGCAAGACCTCCAGTAGGACCAGTGTAGGGAGAGGGAGAAGGCAGTGGGGAGGCAGGCGGTAACTGTGAGTGCGACTGGACAGGCGGTGGACCCTCTAAGAGAGGAGGAAGACCAAGAACCTACTGAAGGAGCGGAACGAAGTACGACCGAGGCCGCGCGGTGGCACCAGGCACAGCAGGGACAGCACCAGCACCCTCAGCACCTCCGGCAGCACCAGTGCCAACAGCACCTCCAACGGCAGGACCTCCAGCAGCGCCAACAGCACCGCAGCACGACCACCACCAGGACGGACAGTAGTAGTCTCAAAACCAACACCCTCAGCAGCTCCAGCTCCAGGCGGACCCGCAGGCCCAGCAGCTCCGGGACCGGCCCGGCACCAGCACCCTCAGCGCCGAAGAAGCGCCAGCTCCAGCAGTACGCCTCCAGCGGCGAGCAAACCACTCGCGCAGCTCCTGTGGAGAGAGTGGCTCCCGCCGAGACGAAACACCGGAGAACCTCCAGGCCCAGTACCGCCAGACGCCACAAGGGGAGGTCCAGTGGCCGCAGGCTCCACACCTCCAGGCTCAGCAGCTCCAGACGCAGCACCCCAGGCTCACCACCCCCAGGCTCAGCACCCACGCGCGCAGCACCCTCAGAGTCAGCACCCCCAGGCTCAGCACCCCAGAGGCAGCACCCCCAGGCTCAGCACCCCCAGGCTCAGCACCCCCAGACTCAGCACCCCAGAGTCAGCACCCCAGGCTCAGCACCCCAGGCTCAGCACCCCCAGCAGTACCTGAGTCACCAGCAACCTCGACTGGCTCGACTGCATCTACCTGGGACACACCTGAAGGGGCAGGACCCTGAGGGGGAAGGGGGTCTACCGGGGGGGGACCTGGCACAAGGAAGTGCGGTGGCGGCGGGAGGGAAGGAGTGCGGTAGGGGAAGAGGCGGTAGAAGGGGACGGACTCGTCGAACGTGACGTCCTGGGAGGACAGAACACGACGAGAGGAGGGGTGGTAGAACTGCCACCCTGGGGCGTCAGGGGGGAAGCCTAGGAAGACACAGGGAGCAGCACGAGGGGACAGCTTGTTCGCAGACAGGTCGCGGACAAACGCCCGAGATCCCCAGACACGGAACGCAGACGCATCGCCTACCTTCCCCGTCCACAGCAGAGCTGGGGAGGTCTCCGGCCGGGTTACTCTGGGGTGAAGGTTGAGCTGATGCGCCGCGTACCGAACCGCAAACGGCCACAGAAAATGGGGGGCAGCCGCATGCATCATGGACGTACGAGCGACGTCCATGACCATGCCAATGCGGCGCTCAGCAATCCCATTTTGCTGTGGAGAGTCCGGAAGCGTGAAGGTCTGGCGGATGCCTCGTGCAAGACAGTAGGCTCGCAGAAGGCCAGAGGAGAACTCTCCGCCTCGGTCAGAGTGCAGACGCAGAACAAGAAAGTCCGAGCCGAAGCTCCTCCTGAGCTGGAGACGAGCCGCGCGGATCCAGTCGATCAACACCTCAGTGACATCACCCTTGCTGCGCAAGGGGAAGATTGTGGTGTAACGCGAGTAGTCGTCAATTAGTAGTAGGAAGTAGCGCTCGTGACCCTGTCCACGGACGTGGGCTGGGCCCCACACGTCCATGTGAAGCGTCTGCAGAGGAGCCTCTGTCAGGGGAAACTGGGAGGAGTGAGGGGCAGCCCGGAGCCGCCCTCGACACAGGGGACACAGGAAGGTCCTGGCCCCGAAGACGAGGCAAGGAGGGGTGGCCAAGACGGTGGTGCCACAAGAGAGTCTCGTGAGACAGGAGGCGACACGAGCAGGGGGCAGACTCAGGACCAGACCTGGACGCAGCAGCAAACACCTGACCCGACGCAGCTACCTGACCAGACGCAGGGACTGGAGGAGACTCAACGGTTAGGGGTGTAGAGACTCGACCCGGGCCGACGCGAAAACGTGGCTAGGTGTCGGCCTGTGCGGGCGTCCGAGAAGTGGGTCCCCGCTGACTCGCAGGAGTAAACTGGTGAACCCCCGCATCCTGCAGGTCAGCACCACTCACCAAGTTCGTCGAGAACGAGGGGAGGTACAGACCCAGCAGGGTGCCCGAGGGGGCAGCCGGACACGGGAGACAGTGGAGAAGTGAGCAAGGACAGGACCCCCAGAGGGGTCAGCCAGGGAGACTGCAACCGGCCGACCAAGCGGCGTGAGTGTGGTGCGGTCTCGAAAGAAGGAGCGAGAAGCCCTGAGTCAAGTGTGAAGGTGAGAGAGGCCGAAGCCGACGCAGTACCTGAGAGCGCAGCCTCACCAGTACCTGAGAGTGCAGACGCACTGGCACCTAGAGCAATAGCCTCACAAGCACCTAGCGCAGCTGTACCAATGCCCGGGTCGGGCGGGAAAAACACGGTAACAGTCACCCTCATCACTAATAGTCACAGCATACATGGCAGCAAGGATAGCATCAAAGTCAAGATCAAAGATCGCTACAACAACTGCAGGTCGTCGACCCAGACCTCAAAGTCAATGGCTCGACCCTCAGCGTCAAAAGCGAGGACAGTAGGGTAGCCATGACGACAGACTAGCAGTGCAAGCAGTGGGGGAAGGGCACGCAGTAGCAGTGGGGCTCTGCTCACCAGACAGGGCAGGTCGGGCGGCTCGGCAGTAGTGCGGCTCGGCTGCGGGGCGGCTCGGCGGTACTGCTGCTCGGCGGCGGCTGCTGGGCGGCTTGGCTGAACTGCGGCTCGGCGGCTGCTGCTGGGCGGCTCGGCTGCTCCGGGACCGGGCAGTGTGGCGGGCGGCTGCTCGGGCGGCTCGGCTGGAGGGGAGACCGGCGAGGGCCGCAAAGGTGAGGCGGCGGGGCCGCTACGTGAGGGCGGCGGGGCCGGGAAGGTGAGGCGGCGGGGCCGCTACGTGAGGGCGGCGGGGCCGCGAAGGTGAGGCGGTGGGGCCGCTACGTGAGGGCGGCGGGGCCGCGACGTGAGGGCGGCGGGGCCGCGACGTAAGGGCGGGGGGCGGGGCCGCGACGTAAGGGCGGCGGGGCCGCGTAGGTAAGGGCGGCGGGGCCGCGTAGGTAAGGGCGGCGGGGCCGTGTAGGTAAGGGCGGCGGAGCCCGAAGGTGAGGGCGGCGAGGCCGCGAAGGTGAGGCGACTGGGCCGCGATGTGAGGGGGCGGTGGCCGCGACGTAAGGGCGGCGAGGCCGCAACGTGAGGGCGGCGGGGCCGCGACGGAGGGCGGCGGGCCGCGACGTGAGGGCTGCGGGGCGCGACGTAAGGGCGCGGGGCCGCAACGTGAGGGCGGCGGGGCCGCGACGTGAGGGCGGCGGGGCCGCGAGGGGGCGGCGGCGGCGGGCGCGGCGACGGGGGCCGGGGGACGTGAGGGCGGCGGGGGCCGCGACGTGAGGGCGGCGGGGCCGCGACGTGAGGGCGGCGGGGCCGTAGGTAGGGGCGGCGGGGCCGCGACGTAAGGGCGGCGGGGCCGCGACGTAAGGGCGGCGGGGCCGCGTAGGTAGGGGCGGCGGGGCCGCGGAGGTAGGGCGGCGGGGGCCGCGTAGGTAAGGGCGGCGTAACGGGCCGCTAGGGGCGACATGGAGGGTCGCGAAAAAAAAAGGAACGCGCGCCTCGGGGCGCGCTTCGGTGGGCCCTGGGAACAGTCCCTAGGAGGGGACCTGCTCTGATTCCATGTGAAGAAGTGAACGTGAATGAATGAACTATGAGTGAAGTGGGTACAAGTACTAACCCTAATTGGGTTGTACCCCCTATGGATACCCCACTATAGCTACACAAAAGCATAAGCTATAATGTTCTGACACACCTGCCGTTAGATGAGCGCGAGCACTTCGGCCAGCATAAGACCGCTAAGGAGCTGTATGACGCTGTAGTTGCCCGCTACTCCTCCCCTGCCACTGCTGCGATAGGCCGTCTCTCACTGCCCTACCTCTTCCCCGATCTGTCTACCTTTGCCACTGTAGCTGACCTCATCACTCACCTCCGTACTAGTGATCTCCGCTACCGTGCCGCACTCCCCCCCGATTTCCTCGCCAAGAACCCCCCCCCCCCCGATGTACCTCACACTGTACCACCTTTTCACCCGCCTCCTTGACTCCCTTCGCACTATCAAGGACCAGTTTCTCGCCCTCTCCCCCACTGACCTCACTGTCGACCTCCTCGAGAAGGAACTCCTAGCAGCTGAGAAGAGCATTGTAGCTGTAGGTGCCTCTCGTGGTGACCCCCGCACCCCCTTCTTTGAGGGGTGCTCCCCTCCCCCTCCTCCCCTCCATTGCATCTGCTGCTGCTGTCGACTACCTCGGTGCTGAGGGGTCGGGGCCGCGTCTGCTCCTAGTGGGAGGCGCAAGGGCGGTAGGGGCAAGGGGGGCAGGGGTGGTGGAGGTGGAGGCAGGGGCGGCGGCGGTGGAGGGGGTGGGGGGGGTGGGGGTGGTGGCGGAGGTGGGAGTGGCGCGGGTGGTGGGGGGGTCAGTGGCGGCACAGGGGGTAGTGGCGGCGGCGGTGGTGGGGGTGGTGGGGGCGGTGGTGGCAGTGGTGGCGGCGGTGGAGCGGGTGGTGGGCGCGCGGTGGAGCGGTGCAGCGTGGGGGGTTCGGCGATGGCCAGAGGCAGCACCAGCAGCATCCCGGCGAGACTCCCTCGCCCCAGCAGCTCCGTGAGTGGTACTCTCAGCCGTGGGGGTCTGGGGGTGGAGGTACCTGCCCGTACGTCATCCGCAAAGGTGACCGCACTGGCCAGACTTGTGGGAAGTTTCACACGCACAGTGCTGTTTCTTTCGCCCCGACGACGCCTGGCGCGAGCAGTTCCCTGACGCCTCTGAGCTGCCCCGCTGGGTTGATCTGCTTAGGAGGGGATTGATTTCTTTGCTCTTAATTATGATGCTATCCTTGCTGCTATGTATGCATTGACTATTAGTGTTGAGGGTGACTGTTACCTGAGTGTACCGCCCGACCCGGGTATTGGGACCAGTGAGGCTGCAGCTCTAGGTGCTAGCGTCTGCTGCTCCAGGTCCTGGTGTGGCTGCTGCCCTAGGTGCTAGTGCGTCTGCGTCTGCTGGTACCGCACCTACTGAGCACTGCACACCTTCACACTGGACTCAAGTGCTTCCCGCTATTTCTTTCGCGGCCGCACTGCCCTAGAGCAGCTCCCTAGACCTGTTGCTGTCTCCCTGGCTGACCCTCAGGGGGTTCGGTCATTGCGACCTCCACCACTGCCCTCCCTTGTCCTGCTGTCCTGTCTGGCACGCTGTCGAGCCTCTAGCTCCCCTCGTTCTCTACGAACTTGGTGGCGGGTTCCGCGCTCCAGGACGCGGGTGTTCACCAGTTCACCCCGGCCTACGAGCGTGTGACGCACTGCACGTGTGCCCGGACGGGTCGTCACCTGGCTACCTTTACTCGGCAGCCGGGGTCGGACTTGTACACACTGACCACTGAGTCCCCTAACGTAGCTGCGTCTGCGTCTGCGTCAGGTCAGCTGTCGGCCCCTGCTCGTGCGGCTCCCTGTCGCACAGGACTGTCCTCTGGCACCACCGCCTTGGTCAACCGTCAGTGCAGCGCCTTCGCGGCATGCACTCCAGGTACCTTGTCTCTGGTCTTCCCAGAGTTCTTCCTCCCCTGCCACCCTCGCCTGCTCCTCCCTGTCTTCCCTGTGTCGAGGGGCGGCAGCGCGCCGCTCCTCACTCCTCCTCGTTCCCTCCCACAGAGGCTCCCCTGCAGACTCTCCACCTGGACGTGTGGGGCCCCGCCCGCGTCGGGGACAGGGCCACGAGCGGTACTTCTGCTGGTCTTCGACGACTACACGCGCTACACCACGGTCTTCCCTTGTGTACCAAGGGTGAGGTCCCTGATGTCTTGATCCCCTGGATCCGCGCTGCTCGTCTCCAGCTCCGCCAGCGGTTCCAGTCGGACTTTCCTGTCCTACGTCTGCACTCTGACAGAGGTGGCGAGTTTTCCTCTGACCTCTTGGCAGCCTACTGAGCGGAGCACGGCATCCGCCAGACGTTCACTCTCCCGGCCTCTCCGCAGCAGAATGGGGTTGCTGAGCGCCGCATTGGTCTTGTCATGGAGGTCGCTCGTACCTCCATGATCCATGCGGCTGCCCCCTATTTCCAGTGGGCGTTTGCAGTGCAGTACGCCGCGCATCAGCTCAACCTCTGGCCCCGTGTCTCTATCCCGGAGACCTCGCCTACCCTGCGTTGGACGGGGGAGGTTGGCGATGCGTCGGTGTTCCGAGTGTGGGGATGTCGAACCTTTGTCCGCGATACGTCCGTGGACAAAATCTCCTCCCGGGCTGTTCCCTGTGTCTTCCTAGGCTTTGTCCCTGACGCGCCTGGCTGGCGGTTTTACCACCCCACCTCGCGCCGTGTCTTCGCCTCTCAGGACGTCACCTTTGACGAGTCGGTACCCTTTTACCGTCTCTTCCCTACCGCACTGCCCCTCTCCCCCCCCCCGCCGCTCTTCCTCACCCCAGGTGTCCCGTCGGTAAACCCCCTCCCTCCCCAGGGTGCTGCTCCCTCAGGTGTTTCTAGGTAGACCCGGTCAAGCCTGTCGAGGTAGCTGTTGACTCTGGTCCTGCGCGAGGTACTGAGCGTGCTGAGCCTGGTGGTGCTGGGTCTGGGGGCACTGAGACTGGGGGTGCTGAGCCTGGGGGTGCGGAGACTAGGGGTGCTGAGCCTATGGGTGCGGAGACTGGGGGTGCTGAGTCCGGGGTTGCGGAGACTTTGGGTGCTGAGCCTGGAGGTGCTGCGACTGGGGGTGGTGAGCTTGGGGGTGCTGAGAACTGGGGGTGCTGAGACTGGGGGGCTGAGCCTGGTGGCGCTCCCTCTTCACAGCAACTGCGTGAGTGGTACTCCCAGCGCTACAGCCTCCGTCCTGGGGCTACTGGAGCTGGGGGGTCTGCTGGAGTCGGGGCTGGTGGCCCCTCAGGTGCAGTGCCGCAGCCAGAGCCTCCCTCCCCTCAGCGGCTACGTCAGTGGTACGCTCGGCGCTGCAGCCTCAGGAGTGGAGCTCCTGGTGTTGAGGTACCGCCAGCTGGAGGCCCTGCTGCTGGAGGTACTGCTGGTGCTGGTGCTGCTGGAGGTGCTGCTGGTGCTGCTGGAGGTCCTAGAGCTGCTGGAGGTGCTGCTGGTGCTGCCGGAGGTCCTGGAGCGGCTGTAGGTGCTGCTGGTGCTACTGGAGGTTCTGGAGCTGCTTAAGGTGCTGCCAGTGCTGCTGGAGGCTCTGGAGCTGCCGGAGGTGCTGCTTGTGCTGGTTCGGCTGGAGGTTTTGGTGCTGTCTCTGCTGCTTCTGGGGGCACTTCATGGCCGCGGCCGTACTTCGTTCCGCTCCTTCCGCAGGTTCTTGGTTAGCCGCCTCCTCCTAGTCCTCCTCCCTCCTTAGAGTGTCCTCCGCTTGTTCAGTCGCAGTCCCAGCTCCCGTCTGCCTCGCCACTTCCTGGTCCTTCTCCCTACACTGGTCCGACAGGCGGTCTTACAGAGCGTCGTGAGCCTGAGTCTCGTCCTGTGTCGCCTGTGTCTCGTCCTGTGTCACCTGTTCGTGCTGCTCGCACTAGTCGCCGTGTTCCGCGTGAGCGTCCTCCACCTGTCGCTGGCACACACTATATGACTCTGCGTCCTTCCACTGCTCCACAGCGTGTCCCTCTGCCGTCTCCTCCTGCGTCCTCTCTTCCTATTCTTGCTGACCTGGAGTCTGACTCTCTTCGTGCTGCCAGTCCTACTGTCACGCGTCTCCTGGCCACTGCTGTCACTGACCTTCCTTTGAGTCTGCTGCTGCGTCTGCCCTAGTTGCTGAGCTTGTCGACTTTGCTGCTCGCTGTCGTCTAGACTAAGCTGCGAGTCTTGTTGCTGAGTCTGAGTCTGTCTGTCCTCCGTCCGTCGGGGGTGAGTGTGCTCTAGGCATGGACGTCCTTGAGGACAGGCAGGAGGACCTTGAGTATCTTGCAGCCGCTGCGCCTCATCTCGTTTCCATGCTAATTACCCCCGAGGGGGACCCAAATGCTCCAGACATCCCGACCCGCGCTTTTACGTTGAGGCGATCGCGGGTGAATACTCCTCTCAGTGGCAGTCAGCCATGGACGCAGAGATTGCATCCTGGAAGTCCACTTGCACTTACGTCGACGAGGTCCCCCTCCTGGGGCGAACATCGTCAGTGGCATGTGGATTTTCAGGGTGAAGCGGCCGCCGGGTTCTCCGCCTGTCTTCAAGGCTCGTTACGTTGCTCGAGGCTTCAGTCAGCAAGAGGGAGTAGACTTCTTTCAGACCTTCTCCCCCCCCCAAAGATGACCACTCTTCGGGCGCTACTGCACGTTGCTGCTCAGCGTGACTACGAGCTTCACTCTCTTGACTTCAGCACAGCTTTCTTGCAGGGCAGCCTGCACGAGGAGATCTGGCTGCGCCGCCCTCCTGGCTTCACTAGGTCGTTTCCTCCTGGTACCCAGTGGAGCCTCTGGGCGGGCCGGTCTACGGTCTCCGCCAGGTGCCACGTGAGTGGCAGGACACACTGAGGACTACTCTTGCGGCACTTGGGTTCGCGCCCTCTACTGCTGACCCGTCGCTGTTTCTGCGCACTGACACTTCGCTGCCGCCGTTCTACATCCTTGTGTACGTCGACGACTTGGTCTTTGCCACTGCTGACACTGAGGCTCTCGCCCACGTGAAGTCGGAGCTGCAGAAGAGACACACGTGCACAAACCTGGGTGAACTGCTCAGCTACCTGGGCTTGCAGATCACCCGGGACAGAGCACGCCGCACCATCACACTGACTCAGTCACACATGGTGCAGCAGGTCCTTCAGCGCTTCGGCTTCACCTGGTCCTCAGCACAGGCCACTCCTCTGGCTATAGGTCACTCGCTCTCAGCTCTGTTTTCGGATGAGTCCGTAGAGCTGAGTGGTCCTTACCCAGAGCTAGTTGGTTGCCTCATGTACCTGATGACTTGCACTCGTCCTGACCTAGCATACCCTCTTGGCCTTCTGGCCCGCTACGTGGCTCCTAGCAGGCACCGAAAGGTGCACAGGGATGCTGCAAAGAGGGTATTGCGCTACTAGTGTAGTACATCAGGCATGGGGCTCGTGCTTGGAGGAGGGAGCTTAGTTGTTCTCACTGGGCACTCTGACGCTTCTTGGGTTGACGACCAGGCTACTCAGCGGTCGTCACAGGGTTACACCTTCAGCCTTGGCTCTGGTTCATTTTCTTGGCGTTACTACTCGCTCGTCTTCTATTCTCAGCTCCAGTTGTGAGGCTGAGATCTACGCCACAGCCATGGCTGCACAGGAGCTACGCTGGCTCACCTACTTGCTGACCGACTTGGGAGAGCGGCTAGTTCTCCTCCAGTGCTGTACGTCGACAACAAGGCTGCCATTGCCTTGTGTGAGGAGCACAGACTAGAGCACAGAACGAAGCACATCGCTCTCCGTTACTTTCTGGCTCGAGAGCTGCAGCAGCCCGGTCAACTTCGTCTGCGTTTCGTGGCCACTCAGGCCAACACCGCTGATATATTCACCAAGGCACTTCAGCCTGGTGATCATCAGCCTTGCTTGTGTCAAACATTATATATGTGTTATTGCTGTGTAGGCTATAGTGGGTAGCCTTTAGGGGGTACACAACTCTAGGGTTTCATACTTGTACTCCAATGTTTCATTTTTCAATCACTTCTTGTTTCTGACAGAATCGACCCGACAAAAATCAAGACCATTCAGGAGTGGACGTCCCCGACCAACATCACGGAACTTCAGAGTTTTCTGGGGTTCAAGAGTTACATCAAGCGATTTATTTTGAATATGGCGGGAATAACCGGCCCGCTGACCGACCTGCTGCACAAAGACATGAATTTTGTGTGGGGGGAGGAGGCTGAGGGGGCTTTTCAGGAGTTGAAGAAATTTCTCGGTGTCCCCTCTGGTTTTGCGCATCGCCGACCCATCGAAGCCGTTCGAAGTCATCACCGACGCCTCAGATTTCGCCATCGGAGCTGTGCTTCCCCAGGACTTTGGGATCAGACTGCAGCCGATAGCCTATGAATCACGCAAGCTATAGTCAGCCGAGCGCAACTACTCGATACATGACAAGGAGATGCTCGCCAGAATACACGCGTTCATGTTGTGGTCTGCTACTTGGTGTGCGTCGACGTCATTGTTCGCACGGACCACAAGTCCCTATAGTATCTGCGAGCCAGCCGAACCTCAACCCTACGTCAAGTTGGTTGGCTCGATTACATAGAGAGCCACTTCACCTACCGCATTACTCACAAGAATGGGGCGAATAACCTTGCCGACGCCCTGACCCGACCCGAGAGTCAATCCGCTGCAGTACTCATCACCCACACGAACCCGCTACTTACGGGACTATTCACCCACGGCTACACTACGGACCCGTTCTTCATGACTAGAAATCATCAGCACGCCACGACGTAGAAAGGGACTTACCACCTTAAAGCCAGAATTGGCCGGATTTGGGTTCCCGCTTACTGGCTGCTACGTGAACTCCTTATCCAAGAGGTCCACGACTCCAATTTCTCCAGACATTTCGGGGTTGACAAGACCCTTAAATTGTTGCACCATCAATATTATAGGCCTAGCTCCTCTAACGACGTGCAGCGATATGTGTCCTCATGTAGGGTTTTGCCAAGCCATGAAATCGACACGCCATCAGCCAGCTGGATTGCTGCAACCCTTTGAGCCACCCGAACGACCGTGGCAACAAGTGATGATGGATTTCGTCACAGGGCTGCCAGCTGGGCCGTCCGGCAACGACGCAGTTCTTGTCGTCGTCGATCGCCTCACGAAAATGGCGCACTTCGCACCGTGTCGTACAACAATCACCAAAGAAAACCGCGCGCCTCTTCTTCTCCACCGTCGTGCGATTGCACGGAATCTCCTCGGCGATCCTCAGCGACAGGGATCCGAAGTTCACGACGAATTTATGGAAGGAAACATGGGCGTGGTAAGGCACAAAACTACAGTTCTCGTCAGCATACACACCGCAAAAGGGACGGCCAGACCGAGCGAACCAATCAGACGATGGAGCAGCTCATCAGGACAAACTGTCCCGACCCCGCTCACTGGGAAACTTCGCTCGCCATGCTGGAATTTGCATTCAACAACGCCCCGTCCAGTACGACTAATCACTCCCCGTTATTTTTGAATTACGGGATGGACCCGGTGGTTCCCACAACAACTACACTCGACAACCCGGTCCCACGGTCACAGACCTTCGTGACAGAACCCTAGGAAATTCGTAAAAAAACAGCAGACGCAATTCGCAAGGCGAATATGACTGCCCGGAAGTACACTGATCTTCTATGGCGCGAAATTATCATGACAGCTGGGCAATTAGTGCTGCTTGACACGAAGAACCTTTGCCTACCTGGCTCGTAGTAGCTATGGCCACGATTTTGTGGGCCTTTCAAAACCATACAAATGGTGACACCTGTTACAGCGAAGGTGCTGCTAAACGCGACGATTGGCGTATACATGACGCTTCTATGTCAGCCTCTTTCGCAAGTTCGTGCCTGCCACGATCGACATAGCGCGCCGAAACACCGCCCCGACAGAACGAATTGTCGCAGAACCGACACACAACACATCCAAGATTTGGCGCACCGTGTTTGGCTTGACGGATTCGGACGCCAAGTGGATTTCTTAATCCGTTGGACTGACCCACCAGTGAAGACGACACTTGGGTGCTCTCCGCCTCGCTTGAAGCGTCCCCGCTAGTTGGTGATTATCTCGCCCGCAAGCATGCTGCGGATATTGACCACCTTTCTTAAAGGGGGGGGGTGGGTGTTAAGGAACTGTTGAGATTAAGGAGCAGGCTTAGGGTTTCGGGCTTAGGCTTAGTAGCCTAGGCCAAGGGAGAGTCGAGTAAGTTGTGCCAAAGGAAAGTCGAGAAAGGGGTGGTTGCATTAGAAAGTTGCAAGACTTATACAAGGAAAGCAAAAGGAATTGGTGCACCCCTACAAAGCACAATAACTACACTACAACTACAAGCAGTTACAAAATATAAATCATATTTCGACACGCCCCCATAAGTGCTTGTAGTAGAAGTATAGTTACGCCCC